GATTGCCAAAATGATGTTCAATCTTCAGGTAATATTTTTATGAATAATGCTAACATATGTTCCAAAATTGTACGGAATTTCTAAAATTCTAATGTCTGAGTATATGCTTTTAATCATAATTAAGGTTACGTTATTATAAACCACAGAGGTAACCAAAGTTTTTGGTCAATTGTGTTTCTAACTGTAATAACCCTGGACATTTTGCTATTCACGGACAATTATTGTCCTGTTTTAGTCCTTTTCAAAGATGATTTATAATGAGCTATAGGACTTCAACAGGTGCTCTCAAATACAGCCTTCTGATAACTTCCGAGACTGTAATATTGAAATAAAGGAAAATGTACAGGACTCAAGAAGAGCTGAAATGCTCATGAATATCAAAAACTAGAGTTAATTAAATGGACTGAACTCAGAAAGCTGAAGCAACATTTTGACTTTTGCTTAGAATATTGCTGATCCTTGTTTAGTTTTTTAGATTCAGAGAAATTTATTTTGAACTATTTATGGCCTTTAATAATTTATTAAGTTATACCTTTATGATCAAAATTTGAAGAATGTTTGTTTCTCCCTGCCTGTTCTTCTAGAATTTGTAAACTATCTGTGACTATTCTTAACTTATAACAATATAGTTGCTTGCATCAGTGCAAAAAGAGTCCATTTTTCTTTTGCAACAGAACACAGTTTGAGGAAATGGTTATTTTTCAAGTCAAGGCTTTGACTGGAAGGGTATGGTTCCCTTTAAGGAGTCAATCTCAATTTGCAGAGCCAATAAAAGCCCAATGGGGAAACTGACCTCATACTTTTGTCTATGCAGTCTTTGTACAGGGTTCCTGACCTGTGGTCAGTAAATGATGTTACTTTCTAATAGGTCAAGGGGCTCAAAGTTCATCTTGGAACCTAAAGAAGAGAGGTATTTGAAGATATATAATCACGGTTGGGTTCAGCTTTAAAGGTGTTATCTGAGATTCTTTCTGGAACAAAATCTAGCAAAGCCAATCCAAAAGGCTTTTGTAGAAATAATTATTCTTGCTGCACTTTATGCATATAACCAGGCCAAGTATAAAACTAAAGTCTGTTTTGCAAACCATGATGTAAAATAGACTTGGTTTTATAGTCCTAGGATGATTTTGAGGGACAGTTATGGAAGCTTTTCTTCCTGGGTCCATGAGGGGTGTGGTTTCAAAGACAAGAGTTTCCTGGCTCCATGCCTCCATCGGGGAACCAGAGGGGTTTCAAATGTAAAGTTCTTTGTCTGGATTCCTGTGCACGGGCTAGGAAGGGAAAACCAAGTGAGGCTCCTCTGTCCTAAAAAACCTGCCACAAGCTCTGGAGGAGGGGGCGCTGTAACTCAAGAGTTGTGGACCAAGTAGTCAATCCAGTATCAGAGTCAAAGATCAATCACTCCAGGGGAAGTTTAAAAAAACTCCTCTCATTGAATGAGAACATGAATGGGGACGGAATAACTCAAGGGTTAAAACTCCAGCTGCTCCTTACCTATGTGGATTCCTTCTCTGGGTCCCCTCCCATGGCAGCATGGCAGCTGTCTTTCTTTCTCTCTGTCTAATAAATTGCTTTTCCACAAAACTCTTTGGGACCATGATATTTATCCAAATGGTAAACTCACTGTGGCTCCGGGGCCCCTTTTCCCATTCTTCAGGGTTAGCAAGGCCAAGAACCTCTTTGGAAGTGAGAGCTGAATACCCTCCCCTGGTTACAATTTGTTTTTTAACAAACATGAGGACTGAAGAGAAATAAATCATGCTTCAAATTTTATCATATATTTGTCATTAAATTCTAAACTCACTAGTTTTCACCTACATTTTAGACTAACCCTGCTTGTTCCTGTGAACCAAAAGCAACCTCTGGCTGCAGCTCAGAAAAGAACACAAGAGAAGGGTAATGTAGAAATTCCAATCAACATTCTAGTTCTGAGCAATTATCCTGCAAATCCTCCCAGGTGATGTGAATGAATAGGATGTCCATCACTCAGAGGTTTCCTTTTAGGAAAGTAAGACCAAGAGAGTGAACCAAAGCCAAGTATCATGCACCCAAATGTTAGCAAGTATAACTATAGCTACTAGTTATCTGGGTGTGCCACAAGACATCTTTTCCTCACCCTTGTTGGAGTAGGACTCAGTTCCACAGTTTCACCTAATCATTCAGCTTATGATAAGGAGTCCATGCAACCCCCTGAGACACATTTTTGGCCCAAACTCAATTTCAAGCTTCAGATCAAAGACCTAGGAAAGAAAGCTGGATGAGGGATCCAGAGGTAAATGACAACAGAGGTTAAAAGGCACAGCACAGGTGAGCGTGACTGATTTCTGCTATTTAAGTCAACCCCAAGCTTCCTGTTTAACAGATAAAGGCCACGATAATATCCATGGCATAAATGAGGTCTCGGGAACTCCATGGCTACTGACAGTAGGTGGAAAGAGATATAGGTGAAAGCAGATGATTCCTATTCTCTAGGCCTCCCTGCTTCTTGGGTGCAAGCTGCTTTTGCACTCATGGAGGTGCCTGCCAAAGTTACCAGACTTGGGGATGCAAGGACAGAAGAGGGAAAGAGGATGCTCTTCCCTCTCTCCTTCACATAGTCTGGATATCTGCTAGGAAGAGAAAGTAACCAGGAACACCTGCTTCCCTCTTTCTAGATGGACAGCCATTCATTTTAAGTCTGTAACCTCTTTTGAATGCATCCTGAACCCTTGGGACTCCTTTGAAAAAATGCATTCTTTTTGTTTTTTTCTTTTCTTCTCCCTAGTTCCCTCTTTACTGATAGGTAATTGTGTCTCTGTACTATGAGGCATTCCCCTCAGATGCATCCTGCAAACTGGAAATAGTTAATTTCCCAAACCTAAAATGGTATGCTCCGGATTGGGCTTAGAGGAAGGGAACCTATGGGCCCAATGTGCTGGCAAAAAAGGTTTGTTTGCTTGTTTGTTTTAACGAGTCGGGCTTTTGGCCTCTCTCTCCCTGTGCAAACTGGTAAAAAGCTTCAGAATTTTTGAGCTGTCTTTATCCCTCCCCTGGCTTCATTTTAATATATGGTTTCTAATAACCAGCTTTGTCCAATGGTAATGCAACTGGAGCTTCTGATGATGGCCCCTTCTGCTGGGAACTCTTAGATAGGCCTCTGAGGGAGCTCTGACTACCGTTTCCCCAAAACAGCACCCCAAGTCAGCAGGAAGCAGTTAAGATCGGTCTTTATCCTTATCTTTAATCAACAGCAGTTAGATGTACTTCTTTAGAGGGGGGAATGAGACAGCCAGGTGGGACGGGCTCCCTGGAGAAGCCTGCCCACTGAGGTGGAGCCTTGGGATGTTTGTGACCTTTGCAGCAGGGAGGAAACCTGAGATTCAAACGGCAGGCAGAAAGCACTCTAGCAGGAACTCTAGCCTTACTGAGTATCCCCTTTTTCCTTTTTTTCCCTTTTCACCCAGTAAAACTCTGCTTTAGTCCACCTTTAAACCATTTGCAAGCCTAAATTTTTGAGGCTGGGGGACAGCCAAGAACCCTGTCGTAAGCCGAAATAGGAAAAGCCCTGCAACATAATTACATAATATTTATATATAATATATAATTTACATATTATATATTATGTAATCTCATTTTTATATATACATAAGATATATAATTATATACGATATATGTAATATGCAATTTTATAAGATATTGCATCTATATCACTATATCCCTAATAAGATTATATGTACACAAGGAAATAAGGAGGTCTTTTCAGCTAGAAAAGGGGGAAGGAGATGAGGATCAGGAAAGGTCGGAATGACTAATGTGGTGGTTACCTAGAATCCATATCCCCTAACTGTCTCTCTCTTGTGGGACACTTATGGGATTTAGATGATCCTCATTATTTGGCGAGTATATTAGTCAGGGTTCTCCAAAGGAATAGAACTAATAGGATAAATGTATATGAACAGGAGTTTATTAGCAGAATTGACTCACATGATCACAAGGTGAAGTTCCACAATAGGCCATAGGCAATCTAAGGAGCAAGGAAGCCAGTCCAAGTCCCAAAAGCTCAAAAGTAGGGAGGCCGACAGGGCAGTCTTCAGTCTGTGGCTGAAGGCCCTAGAGCCCCTGGCAAATGACTGGTATAAATCCAAGAGTCCAAAATCTGAAGAACTTGGAGTCTAATGTTCAAGGGTGGGAAGCATCCAGCATGGGAGAAAGACGAAGTACTTAAGACTCAGCAAGTCTCCTCATTCCAGGAACACTGTCACAGATAAACCCTGGAAGAATACTTTGCATCCTTCTAATATGCAAGTTGACGGCATTAACCATCACAGTGCGCCTTCACTATTAGGCTCTTTTACAGAGAGTTTCCCAAAATCTTTAATTCAAAAGTTTTTCTTCTCCCATCTCTTCTACCCTAATGAATCCTCTTTCCTAGTGAATAGTTTCTACTGATGAATTCTAAATAGCCTAGAGGCAGGTGACGGATCATGTAGGCAAAAAGGGTTCCTAATTTTAACACATTTGCAATGAAGAATTTCTTTCTGCCATTTAAATGTTCAGATGAATGGAATCTACTTTACTGTTCTCAGCCTTTGGGCCTTGGACAAGATACAATTATAGAAAAGTCAAAGGTTATCATCTTATACTGTCACCTATATAACTTTAGGAGTTGTGTAGTGGTCTACTTTGGAGAAAGAGTAAAAGATAAATGACTAATGGGAGAACTCAGAGAAAGACAAAGAGAAAAATCAGAACAAGAAAAGTAAAAAAAAAAGGATTACTGGTAGTCTCCATTTCTTGAAGCCTAAGTATATTCTTGTTCTTGGAATCTAAGAAACATCCTTTTAAGTCATGTTTGTTTTGTTTTTTATTTATTACTTGAGTTATTAAATTAGGTCATTGTTTTAATCTTGATTATTTTAATTGCTATTGCTTTGTTTTTCTTTTTGTATAACTAATAAGATTATAGAAACAGCAAGGTTATCTGTGAAAAAGAACTTATATATTCTCTTTCTACCTTTCAGGATGGAGCTGATGATTGCATAGACTGGCCTAAAATTAATTTTAAGAAAGCATACTCAAGAAAATAGACTATTATTACATGGATAAAAAAGTATTTAAAATAATTTTGATAAATATTTTTAAAATAATTATTTCATAAACAATTGCCAGGTTTATAAACTGTGTCTGTGTTTGACTCTTTGAAACAAATTTAACATTGATCTGCATTTAGTCTTCATATAATCTTCAAAATCAACCATTTGTGCCTAAGTATCCATATTTATTTCCAAATTTTCACAGAAGTCCTAATTATTTAGGACTTGTAAGTTGTTTTACAGGGTCCATTGAAGTAATTAGAATAAAATTTAGGATAAAGGATCTTTTCAGCCCCAACACTAAGGTCAATATTAATGATGAAATACATTGGCAACATCATTACAATTTTGTAATTTAGAATGCACTGTGATTTTTTACACTTAAAATTTTTGAACTGACAGTTGAATTAATATAGAACTTTTGTAATTACCTAAGTATAAATTAATTTAAATTTTATTTAAAATATTTGGCATCATTTGACATTTATCTCAAGAAAAATTTATTAGATAGGTTTAAGATAACTGATTAACATAATACTGCATTTATGTCTGATGCAAATTTAATATTATTTATTGTGTAGAACATAACACTGTTTCATTATTACATCGTATAATTTAAAATATCTCAATTTTTAATATATTTTACTTTGCCCTAACTTTTGGAAGACGGTGAATATTTCTTATTTTCCAAATCTTATATAGTGATTAAATATATTTTTAAATTTATCAAATATGAGTTAGAAATTTCTCAGATGTAAATACCTTTACAAATAATGCTCTAGGTAGTAAAGGTGCAAATCATGTGGCCTGTAATAAGCACATATATCCTCTAAGTCTCAGAACTCTTCTTATGCTGGAGGAATTCTTTATTTTAGACATACAGAAACTGAGGTAAAATGTCACAGAACTCCCAAGTGGGAGATAGGACTAGAAGCTTACGTTTTCAAATCCCAACCCTGTGCTTGTTCTTTTACTTAACATGGTCTCTTACCTGAAAAATCTATAAAGAACATGTTCTACAAGGTATAATGTTCTATGTTATATGTTCTACAAGGCACAAGGAAGTTAACAATGAATGTGTTTTTTATATAAAATCGGAATTTTAAAATAGTTTCAGCTCGAATGGCCGGGAAGAGAAGAACAGATAGAAATCAGTTGAAGAAAATATAAACATTAAAATGTTTGAAGTGACATTAATCTTCAAAAGCAATCTCATTTTCTAATTTTTCATGAAAATAATTTTAATGACATAGGAAGAGTTTCTTTCCAAGAAACTTGGATTGATGACTAGCTTAATTCCAAAATTTGTGAGGAGCTTTTGTCTGACTGGGAACCAGTGTGTCACCTGGGCTATGTGAACACTGGTACAAGAAGTCTCTATCACTTCAGTATCTCCTTGCTACATTTCAAAGTCCCATGGCTCCTACCATCAGAAAAGTAGGCAGTATGGCCTCACAGTTATTTGCACACGTGGACACTGTAACTGAGGGAGCATCCCCAGCTCGCAGCTCCAAAGAGGTTCTTGGCCTCTCTTACCAGGACGAATGAGGAAAGGGACCCTGGAGGCAAGGTGAGCTTACTGTTCAAATAAATATCAGGAACCCAAAGAGTTTTGCAGAAAAATGATTAATGAGAGAGAGAGAGAGAGAGAGACAGAGAGAGAGAGAGAGAGAGAGAAAGAAAGAGAGAAAAAGAAAGAAAGAAAGACAGACAGACAGACAGACAGCTCCCAAGATGTTGTGGGAGGGGACTCAGAAAAGGAACCCAGTATAGATAGGAGCAGCTGGACTTTTAACACTTGAGTTATCCCCTCCCCATTCATGTTCTAGTCTAATGAGAGGAGTTCTTTCAAACTTCCTCTGGAGTGATTGATCTTTGACTCTGATAACAGATTGGCTGCTTGGTCCACAACTCTGAGTTACCGAGTCCCCTCCTCCCAGGGCATTAGGCTGGTTTTTTGGGACAAAGGAGCCTCACCTGGCTTTCTCTACCTAGCGCTGGCGGGAAACCCAGACAAAGAACTTTACATTTGAAACCCCTCTGGTTCCCAGATGGAGACATGGAACCAGTAAATTCCAGCCTTTGAAACCATGCCCCTCACAGAACCAGAAAGAGAAGTCCCTCAGACACCATTTGGCAGGGAGCTAGATAAATATTTATTTTAGTTTAGCACTGTCAGATTGAATGCAAATTTGCTAGATACTGGAGATTGTTTTAGCAGTTATGCATAAAATATTCATCCTCAATAGGTGATAAGGAGAAGATTAGAAAATAATTCAAATAGAAAAGTGTAGGATCAATAACAGGTAGCATTCTCTGTGAGGATAAATTTTTGCTTTTTTATGTTTTTAAAGATAAACTCTTCTTGTTTGTTAATAAACAGGAAAAAGAACTTGACTCCCAAAATATAACACAAAGCAATAAAGGGAAAAAATGTTGAAGATAGAATAATAAGAATATATTATGAAGATAGAATACTTCTTTTAAAAGTATTCCAGTTAATGTGGCTCCTCAAAGCATTATCAGTTATATTTATTAAAATTCAAGACAGTACATCGAGTTAGTGAAAGATGGGTTTAAAGGTTAAATTACCATTTAGAACAAAGTGGTATATTAAGTGATAACAAAAGTACAATTTACAAATAAAATATTAATCATAAAAATGTATTCACCAAACAATGTAACAGCCAATATACAAAATGGTAGATACTCAAAGAGATTTTTATGTAAATACTATCATACAGGAGAATTTAAAGTGATACGTATTGAAATGGTTTGCAGATGTAGAAAACAAGTAAGAAATAATAAATTTGAGAAATAAAACTAACAAACCCACATTGTTACAATATATAGAAAACATTTTTCAATGAATATAATATATATTTTCCCTTATGTGTGTGAACTACCAATTAAATTATTTTCCATATTAAAAAATAGCTCATCAGAATGAAAACATGTAAATTTTACAACTTAAAAAAATTTGAAATAAAAAACTTTCAAATTTTGATAAATTTGGAATTAACTACCCATTATCTTGATAATCCTTGGATCAAAGAAGAAAGAAAAACTGGAAATTTGTTGTTTATAAAGCAATAAAAAAGAGAACTTATACCAAAATTTCTAATATATGTCTAAAGGTATGAATATATTAACTGGTTAAAAATAAAACTAAATAAATAAATCATTAGAATTTAATATCCATCTTAGGAAGTTATAAAAAGAAATTAATGAACCAACATGTCAGAATAGAGAATAATGACGAAAACTAAAGTTAATAAAGGAAAAAAATAGTGACAAGCAAATACATAAAGAAGCTTTTCTTAAAAGAAACAATGACATTAATAAATCCTAATTAAATCAGTGTGGCAGTAAGGAACAGTACAGAAATCATAAATGTACAGTATTAGAGACAATAAAAGACACATAGAGCCAAATTCTTGAAAGCTTAAATACATAGAAATATGCTATGATTTGAATACACACCTCCAAAAATGTGTTTTGGAAACTTAATCCCCAATGTTTCAGTGTTAGGAGATGGGGTCTAGTAAGAGGTGATTAGGCCCTAAGAACAGAGCAAATTGATTAATGTCATTAACACAGGAGTGTGTTCCTTATTGAGGGAATGGGTAACTTATAAAAAAAGATAATGCCTACAGCCTCTCCCTCTTTGACCTTCTATCATGGAATGACTCAGCAAAAAGACCCTCACCAGATGCTGGCCGCTTGATCTTGGACTTTCTAGCCTTCATAACCATGAGCCAATACATTTCTGTTCATTTTAAACAACCAAGTCTCAACTGTTCAGTTATAGCTGCACAAAACAGACTAAAGCATAATACTACATGCAACTTGATAAGAAGTTTTAGAAAATATGGAACAGAATTTATTTAAAACATTTAAAATTAGTAAGAGGAATCTAGTTAAAATATTACATTAAGGTAAAGAAACAATTTTTTGACTCTGACTTTACATTAAAATAAAAACTTTCCCCATTTTCTCTATAAATTAATTCAAATACAATGGGAACCCAAAAAAAAGACAATAAGGCATTTTTTTCATGAAACAAGAATACTTCACTCTAAACTCCAGTAACTGATGATAGGCAAGAAACACATTAGAAAGATGTCGTAAGAAAAAGATGCAGAAAAAAATATTTTAAAAATTTGGCAGCAGTACTGGAAAAAATGGGTATGGCTAAAGACAAAACTGAGGCAAAAATTGAGTGTTCCATTTATACCCTCTAGCTATACAACCATTGGGAAAATCATTCCTTCCCCACCTCATAGGAGAAAAAGTTCTTTTAAAAAAACTACAGTAAAACTAGTTTGTAATTTGGAAAGTTGACTTGGAGGATGACATTGAACAAATTGTGAGAGCCTGAGAACTGAATGTTGAGACCCACAGCCCCCAGCAAAACTTCCAAACACATACAGCCATGCTTACATAATCTTGAAAAAGTCTAGACAATTGATGAAGGAAAATACGCTTCACTTTAAAACTAAAAGCAAAAATCATCTACATACTGAATTCTGGAGTTTCAGTGAAAAGTTGACAGGTACCAGAGAATTTGCTCTGTTGACCACCGCTAATGAACTACTGACGGGTCCTCAAGCTGCTTTTCAAAGTTTCACCTTTAATAAGGATGGAACCTCAAGGATCACCAGGGAATTCAGGAAAGCCCCCAATATAAAAGGGAAGTCAAAGCTTGTAATAGAAAAACAGATGAAATAGAAATAGCATGACTAGTAGAAGAATACAGAAAAAAAAAATAGATAAAATCTCATAGTGATAAAATATTGCCCCAGAACAATAATCAAATATTATAATAAAAATCGTAGAACAGGCCAGGTGCAGTGGCTCACGCCTGTAATCCCAGCACTTTGGGAGGCAGAAGTGGGCAAATCACGAGATCAAGATATCGAGACCAACCTCGCCAACATAGTGAAACTCCATCTCTACTAAAATACAAAACTTAGCTGGGCATGGTGGTGTGCGCCTGCAGTCCCAGCTACTAGAG